AAAGAACCTCTCCATTAATAGCTATGAAAGCAACTGAATAACTTATAGACATTTAGGAAATACATATTTCTGGGAACAATAAACTTAAAAACATTATGGGTAATGGCTATACACACTTGAAACTTGCATCAGATTTGTAAATATTTTTAAGGCAAGCATCAGCTTTTATATGTTGTATTATTGTTTGTGGAAGGGAAAGAAATGAGGTTCAGTGTATGTAAGGGGAAGAAAAGAATGACATGACAATTATGAAGAACAAAGGCATTTTCAGTACAAAAAAATGCAAATTGATAAAGGACTTTCTTCTCCAGGGCATTCAATCCAGCATCTCCTATAAGCACATTCCCTAAATGGTAGAGAAATAAATGATACATTCCAGTCTTAACTTAAAAGTGCTTTTTGAAGAGTGTGTCCATTTAAAGAAAGAATAAAGCAACTTTAAAAAACTGAACATGAATGGAAAATGACTAGCTAGCCAACAGCTTTCCAAAGAAGCATAAGGCATGGACAGTAAACTCGGCATCATCCCACAGCCACACAGTACTATGAACGAAGACACATACAGGGAGGTTCCAGTGCAGCCTTTTTGTCTTATTATTTTAAGGTTGTAAATGTGTGGCATCCCAGAGTTCAATCTTGCAAGACGCTGAGCATTCAGTCCCCAATCCAGCAAAGCAATGGAACAATTGATGTGCTTGAAGTTATCTAATGTCGACAGGCGGAATCCAACCTGGAAACTCGGGAGCTTAGTGCATGAGCCTCTACCACTTGAGCTAAAAGCAAGATGGCTAGTAGCTAATGCTATATAGCAGACTCATTACTCTGTGCACGTAATCTCTGTGCCCCTAGATAAGACCATATATCACACCCAGAAGTTGTGCAAGTTACAGTTAAGCACTTGATTAAGAACTGCTGCACAAGCAGTTAGAGCAGGCATCTGCAACCTATGGTTCAGTACAGAACCACATATGGCTCTTTTGTCATTCCCAAAATACACACAACTTTTTAAATCAAAATGAAAATTTAATTCAAAATTTTAAAAATAAATAATTACCCATGTCAAGTCCGTGGTGGTTTGTGGGTTTTTTTGGGTCTGTTTCACCTGTAACTGTTCATTTTAACTACCATCCATCCTCTTCACTCACTGGTAGTTGTGCATATTCTCTTTTTAATTTCTTGGACACCCCGGAACTCCACACATTTATAGCCTTCAAATAATCTTTCTATCTTCATGTGAACTTTGTGACCCCCTAACAGTAAAAATGGCAAAGAGAAAGAGAGATGATGGGTACCAAAATTTTCAAAAAGGAGAGGACAGACTTCTTTGCATTTGTGGATAGGTCTGGATCTCCACCCTGTCTCATTTGTAGTGAGAGACTATTCTCAAAGTAACAAACAAAACATGCAGCATTTGCTACAAAATACCCCAAGGGTGACACATGAACCATAGCCTGCAAGGAGCTGCAGCGAAAAAAGAACATGGGACAAAATAGCCTGCTGGCATGGTCAGAAAAGATGGGAGCTTAAACCCTGCATGTTTTGAGAGCTCACACAGCACCATTTGAGAGGGGAAGCCTTTCACTGACAGGGATTACATGAAGAGATGCATTCTAAAAATTGGTCATGAATTATTTGATGAATTTCACAACAAAGACAAAATCTTTCAGAAAAGTCAAGACATGCCATTATCAGCAAAAACTAATAATAACAGAGCCGTGAAAATGGCCGATCAAATCAACAAGGAATAATTGCAAATTTGAGTACAGATATTTATTTTTCCTTGGCTTTGGACAAGACAACCAACACACATGACATTAATCAGTTGTGTATTCTGGGATGATATACATGTGGAAATGCTGTGCATGAAGAAATGAATGAGTTATTACCAGTGAAAAATCAAAGAAGGAACGAAGGCATCCTTACAACTGTGATAAACTTTGTAAACGAGAAAGACATACACTTGGATAATCTTGTGTCTCTGTGTACGGATGGGGCACCTAGCATGATCGGCAAATACAGGGGATTCCTTACTCTTGTCAGAAAAGCTCAAGCGTACACTTTTGAACTTTCATTGCATTGTGCATCAGGAGGCACTTTGTGTGCAATCCTGTGGAACCGACCTCAGAAATGTAATGGGACTGGTGATTTGCATTGTCAATTGGATTCTTGCATGAGCCGTAATTACCATCAATTTCAGTCACTGCTCGAGGAAGCAGATTCCAAATATCCCGATTTACTAATTGCACAATGTTCACTGGTTATGTTGTGGCAAAGTTTTGTCTCATTTTACCACCTGCATTAATGAGATTAAGTCATTTTTGCATATGGAGGGTATCACACACACCACGGTTTCAGACTGTGACTGGTTGCTCAGATTTTACTATCATCATTACCAGGCATTTGAATAAACTGAACCTTAAGCTACAAGGGCAAAAATAATACAGTCCTGACTATGCAGCAGGCAGTGTTTAGATTCCAGTCAAAATTGACTGTGTTTATAAAAAATATGGAGATGGGCAGACTGGCACATTTTGAAAGATTACAAATGTTTTGTGATTCGTATCAGAGAGACAATCCAAATAACAGCCTTGATTTGCAGCAGTTTGCCGGGTTTGTTTCTGAGCGCCTGGTGGCATTCAAGTCTCATTTTGTTGACTTTTGCAAACATAGTGCTCTGTTTAAGTTTATGATTCGTCCATATAAAGTATCCATTGAAGGACTGGATCTGACAGTCATTCCTGGCATCTCAGTCAGCAATTTGGAAATGGAAATAACAGATTTCAAGGAGTCCAATATCTGTGTGGAAAAATTCTGATTTAGAATACCTTGCTCGACAACGTGCAAGATTGGCAAAACTGCACAAATGGGATGACATGAAGAAATTGGAGCATGATGATAATCTGAATCTGTAACAATATGCAAAATACAGGACTATGTAGCACTTTAAAGACTAACAAGATGGTTTATTAGATGATGAGCTTTCGTGGGCCAGACCCACTTCCTCAGATCAAATAGTGGAAGAAAATAGTCACAACCATATATACCAAAGGATACAATTAAAAAAATGAACACATATGAAAAGGACAAATCACATTTCAGAACAGGAGGGGGATGCGGGGGGGTGGGGGAAGGAAGGAAGGTAAGTGTCTGTGAGTTGATGATATTAGAGGTGGGGAGAGTGGGATGTTTGTGAGTTAATGGTATTAGAGGTGATAATTGGGGAAGCTATCTTGGTAATGGGTAAGATAACTAGATTGCATAGTCCTGTATTTTGCTTCAGCTACACCAGACTAACACGGCTACATTTCTATCACTATGTAACAATATGGTTTTTCTCTACCCTTTTGGTAGACCTAAACTGAAGCCTTCCTCTGCTGCCAGATTGAAGAGCAGCAGCCATTAGGTGTAAAACTTGGAATCACATACTCACATTCCATCTAAATTGCATTACAAGAGTGTCACACCAGGCTGTGAGAAAGAGAACCTGTCCTAATGACACTCACTGTTACCAGATAAAGATACAAAGAAATAGATATCCAGATGGGTAAAAAAACCTTAGTTAACAGCATTTAGTCTGGCAAGAAACTGCTTATCAATAGCTGAGGTTGTGGAATTCTCATTTTATGATTATTGTCCTCACTTTCCTATTGTTTCTCTGTGTGATCTATGTCTGCTTTGTAACTGTTTCTGTGTGCTGTATAATTAATTTTGCTAGGTGTAAATTAATTAAGATGGCAGGGTATGATTGGTTACGTAATTCTGTTACAGTGTGTTATGATTGGTTAGTAAAATTATACTAAATTAACTGGTTAAAATATAGCTAAGCAGGACTCAAGTTTCACTATATAAACTGGGGTACAAGAAGCAGACCAGCAAGAAGGGGGAAAAGGGAAAAGAAGAAAAGGGAAGTGGAAAGGAACACCAAGAAAACGGAAGGAAAACCTGGAAGAACTCGCCTCCAAGACACAGCCTAAGACCACAGCTGCCAGGACTCCTCTGCATGACTGTGACATGCAACAGTTAAGATCCAGAGAGACTGACCTTGCCTAGCCAACAGGGGAAGTTTGCCTGCCTTTATCAGGCTTGGTGAGCATGACACTGTGTGCTTAGCATGGGTATTCTGCTTGCTTGGGAATTGTCAATAAATAAAGAATAAGAATATTACTGTGTAAGGCTCTTTCAGTGGCAAAAGGCCCTGCAAACCTGCAGAAGTTACGCCCTGAGCCCTCGGAACTGGGTAAAGATGTGTGTCCCTAAAGTGTGGGAGGGATAGAAAAATGCGTGTGAGTAACAAATCTGCAAACTTGGAAAGACCTTCCTGTCATATACACCACCATGCAGAATGTCTCCTTGGCCTTACTTGCAATGTTTGGCTCCGCCTATGTGTGTGAGCAGGCTTTCTCTTAGTTGAATCACACCAAAGGTAATGTGTGCTCAAGACTGACAGCTTAATGCATGCATGAAGATGAATTTGACCAGTTATGATGTAAAATTCAAAGAAATGTGTGAAAAGATACAGCAGGAGAAGTTCCATTAAACAAACTCCTTGAGGGCAATGTTTCATTTATGCTAGTATTAATCCTCGTATCAGTTATTAGTACTATTAATCTGTATTTCAGTCGTGCAAATGGGCATTCTTATACTGGCTCTTTGTTGGCCATTTGTTCTGAATTTTGATGTAGTTTGGCTCTTTTGTTTGAAAAGATTGCCGATCCTTGAGTTAAAGTGCTCAACATTTTTCCATCTGTTTTCCATCAGAAAACACTGTTTTGTGAAAATCAAAACATTCTGGGGGAAGAAACTCATTTAGACAAAATTCAGTACCAGAAAACACCCTGAAAAACACACTTTGGTAAGGACGAAACATTCTGGTTCCAGGTTCAAATGTTTTAATTTTTTGTTTTGAAATGGATAGTCATTTTGAATTTATTTCATATTATAAAAACAATTTTTAAAAGCCAAAGTCAATTATTTTGACATGGAAAAGTGAAGTTACTCACCTTCGGTGCAGTAAGTGTTGTTCTTCGACGTGGTGTCCCCACGGGTGCTCCACTATGGGTGCTGGGCTTGCACCAGCGCCGCAGACGGAAGATTGTGATGAGCAGTGTTTGGCCGGATCACGAATGTGCCAAGGGCTCGCTGCTCTCGTGCTATTTTCTGTCTCGCGCAGTCCGGCCCCCCGCCAGTTACTCAAGACCGCCTCGGAGTCTGTAAGAGACAAGAGCAGAGAGAGAGAGAGAGAGAGAGAGAGGACTCCAAACTGGGGAGGAGGGTGGGTAGTGGAGCACCCACGGGGACACCACCTCAAAGAATGACAGTTACTGCACCAAAGGTGAGTAACTTTGCTTTCTTCTTCAGGGATGTTCCCGTGGGTGCTCCACTATAGGTGACTCTGTAGCAGTATCAGAGGGGTAGCCGTGTTAGTCTGAATCTGAAAAAGCGGCAAGGAGTCCTGTGGCACCTAAGTGTAGGAGCATAAGCTTTCGTGGGCAAAGACCTACATGCATCTGACGAAGTGGGTCTTTGCCTACGAAAGCTTATGCTCCTACACTGCAGTTAGTCTATAAGGTGCCACAGGACTCCTTGCCGCTTGTGTAGCAGTAGTCGCCAGAACGGAAGGAGGGCAAGGAGTCCCTATTTATCCACTGCGGAGAGCACGCCAGTCGCCACTGCCCCATCTGAACGACTGCCTAGAGAAACAGAATAGTGTTTAGCGAAGGTCTCATGTGAGGCCAGGTTGCCGTCCTGCAGATGTCCTTCAGAGATACCCCTCTATGAAACGCTGTAGATGTGGCCATGGCTTTAGTGGAGTGGGCGCGTGGTTGGGATGGAAGGGGTAAGCTTTTCACTGCATACGATTGCGTTATACATGAGGGTAAATATCTCCAGAGATGGAGATTCCACAACCTCCCTGTGCAATTTATTCCAGTGCTTGACCACCCTGACAGTTAGGAACAACATTCCTCCTGGCAGGAGGCACAATATTTAAAGCCTGAGGAACCAGGCATATTGAACAAGAATGATGAAGAACTGGGTTTGGCTTGCTTTTTTTGAGGAAAAGGGGGGATTGTTGTTGTTTATTAATGAACAGGAAAGATAGAACCCAAAAACTTGGAACTGAGGAAAAATTGAAGAAATTTAGTAGATTTATATGTTGTTTCATCACTTGAAGAAGAATCTTAGGTTATGTGGATTTATTAATAGATTTTGTTGGGAGGGGCTGAGTTTTATTGACAGCTTATTTTACATTAATGAACCCAGTCCCCAAGTAGGTTCAAGTAATAGCCTGAAGTTTAATTTTAACCACCCAAGAGTAGTAACTGAGGCAGGTTGACTGAAGCATTGACATACATCATGAGGAAGTTCACTAGAGGCAGCTAGCTTGGTTACCCAGTCATTTATAAAAAATGACTATTTTTATGCTTTCAAAGATGCTTAAATATCACTCTGATGGGCATGATACAAGAACTTAGAACAAAATTTTAGAAGGCACAAAATATCCATTGACAAAGTTTCCTTGTAGTGACTCGACATCGACACAAAATCACTTTCTATTCTGGAACTGATTATTAAACATTGCAAATGCATAGTTGATTTCCTCCATAAGTTAACCACACTGTATGCTGTAATTTTCAAAAGTATTATTTGATAGCAACAAAAGCTTGACAGCACTTCTCTTGTTATTTCCCCAGTCAAGGTGCAAAATATGAAACTCTCCTTCCAGTTAGACAGCTGTGGCTATGGAATGCTATGGAACTCTGATGGTATGGTACAGCAGCTGCCTCAGTGGAAACTCTGAAAACTTAATTTATTTCCTGAGTTACAATACTCAAGGTTGGTGCTATTTCTTGTTAGATATTTGAAAATCCAGGCAAATTATATTGATTTATTAGAACTAACCACACAGGACGTATGTATCACTGTCTACAGAAAAGAACCTATTAAATGATTTAACTGATCACATTACTGAATGTAAAAGGTAGCACACTTCAGTGATTATGATCAAGTATAATTGTTGAGGTAGTACATTAAAGCCTTTTGTATAGCACCTTGGGTTAGGTTAGTCACAAAATCTGAGTAAATATAATTTATTCTTTCATAAAGAATACAGGAACATTTTCAATATGATGTTAAAAAATATCCAAAACACAAAAACCTTCCTTTGAAAATTTCTGACCCACTATCTACTTGATTGTTACCTTCTTACATCAGGAATATGGCACAACATAAAATGGCATCTGGGGCGAAAACCTCATAAACCACAAAATAAATAAATAAGAACATAAGAACAGCCATACTGGGTCAGAACAAAGATCCATCTAGCCCAGTGTCCTGTCTGCCAACAGTGGCCAGTGCCAGATGCCCCAAAGGCAGTGAACAGAATAGGTAACCATCACGTGATCCCTCTCCTGTCATCCATTTCCAGCCTCTGACAAAGAGAGGCTAGGGACACCATTCCAACCCATCCTAGCTAATAGCCATTGATGGGTCTAACCTCCATGAATTTATCTTGTTCTTTTTTGAACCCTATTAAAGTCCTGATCTTCACAACGTCCTGTGGCAAAGAGTTTCACAGGTTGATAGTGCCAAGTGAAGAAAAACTTCCTTTTGTTTGGTTTAAACCTGCTAACTATTAATTTCATTTGGTGGCCCCTAGTTCTTATTATGGGAATAAGATAATAATTGTTTCTTATTACTTTTTCCACATCAATCATGAGTTTATGACCTCTGTCATATCCCACCCCCGTAGTCTCCTCCTTTCTAAACTGAAAAGTTCAAGTCTTTTTAATCTCTTCATATGGCACCTGTTCCACACTCCAAATAATTTTTGTTGCTGGTTTTCTGAACCTTTTCCAATGCCAATATATTTTTCTTGAGATGAAACAACCACATCTGTATGCAGTATTTAAGATGTGGGCGTACCATAGTTTTATGCAGAGGCAATATGACATTCTTTGTCTTATTCTCTGTCCCTTTTTAAATGATTCCTAACATTCTATTTGCTTTTCTGACTGCCGCTGCACATTGAGTAGATGTTTTCAGACAACTATTCATAATCTCTCTCTTGAGTAGTTGTAGTTAAATTAGTCCCCATCATATTGTATGCATGGTTGGGATCACTTTTTCCAATGTGAATTACTTTACGTTTATCAACATTAACTTTCATTTGCCATTTTATTGCCCAGTCACTTAGTTTGGAGAGATCTTTTTGAAGCTCTTCACAGTCTGCTTTGGTCTTAACTATCTTGAGTACTTTAGTATCGTCTGCAAATTTTGCCACCTCACTGTTTACCCCTTTCTCCAGTTAATTTATAAATAGGTTGAATAGGATTGGTTCCAGGACAGACTCTTGGGGGACCCCACTAGTACCTCTCCTCCACACGGAAAACTTACCATTTATTCCCACCCTTTGTTTCCTGTCTTTTAATCAGTTATCAATCCATTAGAGGACTTCCCTCTTATCCCATGACAACTAACTTTACTTAAGAGCCTTTGGTGAGGGACCTTGTCAAAGGCTTTCTGGAAATCTAAGCATGATATATCCACTGGATCCCCTTTGTCCACATGTTTGTTGACCCCCTCCAAGAACTCTAGTAGATTAGTAGGCAGGGTTTCCCTTTACAGAAACCATGTTGACTTTTCCCCCAACAAATTATGTTTATCTATGTATCTGACAATTTTATTCTTTACTAAATATTAGCTATTTTCCAGAACCAGTTGTTCCAAGAAGCAGTCATTTAAGTTAAGAAATTTTATCTCTGCATCCCATTTTGAGGTGTCGTGTACCCAGGCAATATGGGATAGTTGAATTATTATTGAGTTTTTTACTTTGATAGCCTCTCTAATCTCCTTTAGAATCTCATAGTCACTATCACGGTCCTGGTCAGGTAGTTGGTAATTGATCCCTACTGTTATATTTTTATTATTAGGGCATGGAATTACTATGCATAGAGATTCTATGGAACATTCTATGGAATATTCTGTGGGACATTTTGGTTCATTTAAGATTTTTACTTAATTTGATTCTACATTTTCTTTCACATATAGTGCCACTCCCAGTACTTTAAATGTCCATCTCTTTTCCATACCACAAAATCTCTTGTGTTGGATTCCTCACTATCAAGATCCCTAACACTCCCAACCAGTAACAGATGCCTGGCAATTAATGCAATTGCTTTTCCCAGTCCAAAACTCCACAGTTGCATCACCTTCTGCTTTCACTGCCAAGAAAGGAAAAGACAGCAGGAGACAGATCTGAGACTGCAGGTGCGAGCAAAACTGTGTTTCTTAAAGTGTAAAACTGCCAATATCTGCTCACTGTCCTTAACTCGTATTCAGGGTGGCTTGTTCAATGGAGAGAGAACTCTACATTACTTAGTCTGTACTGTTGCCATCTTACTTGGGGAATTTGTATAGCACTGCAATGGAGATGCTGCTATGGAAAATGGCTGTAACCACTACCCCACCAACAGTTCCTCTGTGGAGTAGCTTTCATTTAGGATCACACCACCAGACTTTGCATTCTTCTTTTGCAACTGCCAGTTTAGCTTACATCCATCTTAGCATGGGTGTTGAATGGAGGATTATACTCTATTTGCAACCTCGCTACCCTTTTCAGAAATGTTAGACCCTGCATTTGAACTTTTCTCTATAATCCTTCTTCCCTTATAAATACCTATGGGGAAATACTTGTAAAATCAGTTAGCACCAGCAAATGTACAATGTGGCCTAGAACATTTTGTGAATGGCCTGCTAGGGAACAGTAAATCAGATCGTCAACTTGTGTATCTGTTGCTATCTTAATTGCTGTTAAATATTCAGAACTTTTTAACTGATTTACACAAAGAGTATTAGCGGTGATGGAACCCATGTGGAAACAGCACAGAATATTAAAAGCTATGTTCACAAGTCTACAGCAAAACAAGGAATGTGAAGAGCTCGAGTTGTGACAAAACACGTATTTCTGACCTGGCCCTCTTGCTTTGGAAGGAGAGATGGTATCTCAGTATCCCAGGCAAGGTTGCTGAAGCATCCTCTCTCGTTCTAGAGCAGGCCTGGAAGCAATAGTGGAGGAGGCAAGAATGCCATTTCCTCATGCTGCCACCTCAACTTCTTCAATTTCTAGGCTGGATCCAGAAGGAGAGATGACAGCTCGGTCACCTTGGCTCACATCTCTCATTCCAGAAAAGAGAGCTGAGGGTTCCATT